TTTGATGATCTAAACAGTACTTAGCTTCTTACTTGTGATTTTTTGAAGAAGCTTTTATATCACATTTCCTAAACAGGAACTTTATTTGAAGCTGACAGGGTTGGGAATGGTTCCAAAGATTATTCTTTTACTGAAAATAAGCATGTCTGCTTATTTCCCTGTTCTGCAATTTTGAGGAACGAGTTGTAGCTGAACTTAGTTATGCTGAAGCAAATCCATCAAAACAAGAAGCTTAATATCATACTAAAATGGTCTGGATTGAAAAGGAATGCTTTTGACAGGAAATTCTGTGCTTTCTTTTAATTTCTCTTTGCACTGTCTACTTCTCTCCTTTTCAGGCTAATATTTGGAGACTGAGATTCCTCAACTTTCTTTCCAGGCATGAATCAGCTGCTGTAGTGTCTTGCTATTGCCTGTGTTTAGGCAAACTGTCCAAAAAATCTTCAGGGGTTCACAGAATGAAAGAAGTCTTTGTTAATCATCTTTTTCTGAGCATTTGCTTGTGGTCTCTTAGGCTAACTTAGAACAAAATAGTATTTTTTACACTGGATCAGTTACAGACAGTTTATTATTATGAAGAACCTTCTGGAAAAAATGGGCAAAAATGCAGTCCTGTAACACCAGGGAGTTTGTTTGTAGATCCCCCTCCTCTGTCCCCCAATTTGTATTTTAATTGTGTATTTTGTAGTTCTCAGTCACATTACATTTTTTTAAATGTCTATTTTTCCTTCAAAAAACATAGGAGGGCTTGACTTACTGTTACATTTTTGTTTGCAACTATCAATTCACTCTGTTGCATAGTGACACATAATGCTGTGTTTACTCTGCTGCATATTTCTTGGAAGAGAAAATGTCTTTACCATGCTCAAGTTACTAATATTTTCCCTTTTTTTTTCTTGTAATGAAGTATTTGCAAAGGCTGACAGCTGCCTTTTGCATGGACAGCAACAGGTATGGAAATACTCTCTTAGTATTAACTTCTTAGGAGCTGACACACACTAGGGGAAAAAAGGTTTGTTCTGAATAGTTTGACTGCATTAGTTCCAAAAGATTTCCCTACTTTTTGCATATTGTGTATATGAGTTCACACAGGCTAAACATGTTTATGAAGTTATTAGGAAATTATTTTTCAATTTTGTTGCTTTTAAAAGCACTTATCCTCTTGTGCCTCCTCGACAAAGTTTGGTTTAGCATGTAGAGGATAAATACATCAAGAGGACAACAGGAGTGTGTGAGAAATCTCATGCATGCAGGGACAGAAGGGTGTTCTGCAACAGATGAGACATCTGCAAAGCACTTTTTGTTCTGCTGTCATCTAGCTTAACTTTTCACTATCAAGTACTTGGAGAGATTGTGCTATGGGTAAGAGGTGGGAGAACACTATATAGGCAATCAATTTCTTAATATTTTTAACCAAAAGGAGTAATGAGTACAGCTTGGTATTATTTCAAATTTGTGAAGTATTCCAATTCTACTCCTAAAAAATGTTCAGGGCATGTGGTCACATTTTACACATTTAATATTCTTTAACATCACTGTGCAGCAAGTAATTCCAATATGTATTTGTCACTTCATTCTTTTGTTCCCAAGGGATTACTGTTTCACTCTTACTGTGAGTGGATAGGAGGAAGACTATGACAACCCCAAAAGAATGTAGATTTTTCAGTGAGGCAATAATAAGGAAATCTATTTGATTTTGCCTTTTTCTTTTCCCCACATCTGCTGTGGTCATGGAATAAATGTTAATTCAATACAGGACTTCTACAGCAGGCAATAGAGATATTACAGACAGAAAGGTCTAGAAGGTTCCCTTGTAGTTCTTTCCTCCAATGTGCAGACACTAGTTTTGCTTTTGTTATTCTGTTTGAAGGAACTGGTTCAGATTTTTCTTTTCAGCCACTGCAATGAGCTTTTTGAAGAACTTCAGTTTCATTTGTTTCTGATATGAGTAATTATTTATTGAATCTTTGCTTCCCTGAATCCTCAGTTTCTTGCATGTAAGCTGCTTTGCTGTTTTTTTGTGAGTGAAAGGGAGGGCAATGCCTATTTCAGCAACCCTTTGTCTTAGGTGTCATATAAATTACTTAATATTTTGTTAATGATGGGATTTTTTTTATTCCGTAGCAGAGTATGAATTGGAGGGTAGAGCTTTTATAAAATGCATTTGTACAATTCATATTGGCAGTTCTAAGAGATGAGAGTTGCACTAAGTGATTTAACTGCAGAGTTGCAAAAATGAGTAATTAATTTGACTGCCAGGATTTGGTTGTACCTAGATGGTGACAGTGCCACTTCAAATGGCTTTCCAGCATGGCTTTCCAATCACTTTCTGTACCTTGATATAAAAAGTTATTTGAAATCTAATGAAGTAGATAGTCTTGCTCAACAGTACTGAAGAACCTTGGTCCAAGCCTTAAATACAATTGGAAAGAGAAGATTTTATCTTTAGTGAAACATTTGGCTATTTGCTTCCTATTTTGTTGTTGTTGTTGTTGTAATTATCTTTTCATGTGACATAACTTTTCAGAACAGTATAAATATAGCCCACTTAAAGGATGCTGGGTGTCTTTAAGTGTATTTCTGTGCTGGGGGAAGGCAAAATGAGGAAAGGATGGGTGAAAGTTCAGAATTGACCTCATGCAATTGCTTCCTTCTGCAGCTGTTTGCAGAGTTGTGCACTCTGTTCCTACAGCACCTCAACCCTAAACTAACAGGAGGAGATCTGAGAAGCAGTTGATAGCCTGGCATGATGCTAAGGATGTTAAATGCAGAGAGAGGATCCTAATTTTCTTTTTCTCTTGGTAACTTACTGCTTCACTTGTGTTAGTTTTCTGGACTGAGCTTCACTGCAGAAAAGCTGTTTTGGCTGTATTAAAGCAATGCCCCTCAGGATTATTTTGCACAAGGATCAAATGTAAGATCAGCACTCTGATAAAAACATATTAGTTCTAAGTTATTTAACAGAGCGTGGCAACAGTTCAGAAGGAGGATTTCAGTCAGTGTGATTACAGCCTTTATTGGCATCACTGCAACTGCAGAAGTAGCAAAGCTGAGAGCCTGGCCAGCAAGGAAGGGTGTTGGCTGTATTGCAGGTGGTGCTCTGGGGCTATGCTGTGCTGCCTTGATAGTGGAGAAAAACTCTCGTTCTCTTGAAAAAAATCACTTGTGTTTTGAGTCTTGAATACTGATCCCTTTGTGCTTGCCTGCTGCACTTACTACTGGTTTATGATTGCTGAGTGTCTCAGAGTGCCTAAGGTTGGCAAGGGAGATGCATAGTCACATAGCAGCAGATTTATTCAGGAGCTAGTCTTCTGGCCTCAAACCAGAATTCTTCTATTTCCAAGAATTTTGCTTAGTTGGGAAAGGAGTTGCTCAACTACTGATGACTCTGTACCATTTTGGTTTTGTGCTCTCTTGAGAGTGCAGAGCAGAGAGAGGAGCAAAGGAGCTACTTCCTTACTATGACATCTGTAGTGTAGAAAGAGCATGCAAACATTGCATTTTCACAGCTTCAGTTGGAATGGCAGTTAATGTGAGCTGTGCTGTAGCCCTTGAGATCATTTACCATACTTAATTCCATAAGATCTTAAGACATCCAGACCTAACCTTCAGAGTGGTCTTGACTAACACTTTAGGCATTAAGCTTTCTCAGACATGGGTTACTAATCCCTTACAATGTACAGTCATCCACTGGTGGTGTGTGAAGAGATTTACAACCTTGCTGCTTTTCACTTGGTTTTTAGAGCAATAATTTTCTGATTCACATTAAAGCATATTCTTCCAAGCTTATAAAGTAAATTGTCTTCTTCATGTCATTTAGCGTCAGAATTAGCAGAATAACTGCTCAGGTCTTTGTTTCTTAAAGTAAATTGCTGAATGAGAATGATTGTTATCGTTCTGTAAGGAGAAGGTGCATCCAACTAGTGGTGTTAATATTTGGATGATAGGTCTTTCTCCATCCTCTTGTGGTAGCAGTTAGGGTGGAGAGATGGAGTTGACAAGGGTACCTGAATGAGCAAGCTGCATCCTGCTCCACTCCCACAGAAAGGACACTGATTACAGAGAAATTTAGGGTTTGCTGCTGTAGTTTGCTCTAACTTGGTTGTCCCCAGGATGTGTATAAAGAGCTTGGAGAAAATGGAGTGAGCTTTGTAAGGATGAACTCCTCTGATGTTTTAGCTCCTATATTCTAGCAAGTCTCTGAGCTTGTGGGAGATAAAGATTTGGGGGGTTAGCTTGTTTTTTCCTCAGAGACTTAGGCTTGGTGGTAATGAAAGCATTTCTGTACCAAGTGCCTCCTGAAGGAAGGTTCTCCAGCATGAAGTGAACTCAATGCATAAGAATTTGATGCAGAATGTTTTAAATGTAAGCTACTAAAAGCTAGTTTTTATCTTTGGCAGTACTGGGAGGGTATAAGAGGTGGGTGAGTGCACAGTGCAACAATGCACTTCTGGTACAGCTGAATTTAGACACTTATCATCTCTGAATCACTTTTGTACACTGTGATTCACCAGGGAGCTATTTCAAGTCATTCTTTAGAACATGTACCATGTAAAGCAGGACAGGTCCTGGTATATGAAATAATGTTTTGCCTTAAAATTTCCAGGTCCAGCTGTCCCAGGCTTGTCTTTGCTGTGCCATTGTGAATTGTAGAGTGGAGATTTTGATAGTGCTACTTGCAAAAAAGAGGAAATTCTCAGTTCTTGTGCTTCAATCACATGCATTGATCTGCACAAGAGCATTTTAACCATAT